GATGTTGATGGCATCACATTTCTATTAGATACAACTATCCTAGAAGACAGTGTGCTAAATACTACGAACCACAAATATGAGAAAGATTGGTGTAAATTTCCAGGTGGCTCAAAAGGCAATTCTGATCATATGGAAAGGCCCAGTGAGCTGTGGGAAGAGGGCAGAAAGGTCAACTTGGCTTTCGTTCCAAGAACTGTCTGATGCCTGTCTGTTGTCAGTAGCCTCTGTGAGACAACTGTGACTTACAGGTTAGTATGTGTGCCTCAAGAGGAATTCCAATGAAGTGTCCTGACGTTTCTAGGAAGATGGATTCTCTGTGCATACACATCCCACTGTCACAAGATTTGTAGGAGAGCAGTTGCCATGTGGCTCACTTTTCTACCCTCAGGCGCAAGGAAAAATTATGGCCCCATGTTGTGTGAATTGGAAGACCATTTCAGCCTCCTGGATTGATAGCTGAGATGGCCATCAAGGCATGTAGGAAGGAGAGATTTTTCACTCTCTAAGTTAACTTAATATGTGTGAGTTTTAAAACAAGTGTGTAGAGTCTTTGGGATTGTGGTAGCTGGTAGCATGAGCACCTGCTTTCATTCACTGAGCACTTGATTTGTGTCCTGACACTCAGCCACATGCTAGGAAAATTTATTTTCTTTAATCTCAAAGTAATCCTATCATTTTCATGTCCTGGTTCATGAAATTAAGGCTCAGAGAGGTTAAATAATCTGAGCAATATCTCACTTGTCAGTTACGGAAGGAGGATTTGAACATAATGCAGCCTGGTCTGGAGTCAAATACTCTTAACTGTTGCATTTATAGTTGCTCTTTCACATCATTCCTTTCTTCCCAAGTGACAACACTCAAAGAATATCCACCCTCACTGCCACTAATGTAGTATCTATAACAGCAAGAAAATTGATCCCAAACCTTCCCTTGACAGCATTGGTCAACTGTGTGCTTGGATTCTCCTTTCCTCTCTTATACCTTGGTTTTCTCAAATTGGCTTTAAACTGGAAGCCCTTGGGAAACAACCACCCTCTCCTTAGGATGGTTGCTGGGACATGCTCTTGGGTGCTCTCTGAGGATGTTTCCCTCTGCACAGGAAGTTACAACCCCAGCCCTGGAAAACTGACATCAGTAGTGTAAAAGGAGTTTGATCAGGGAAGGTATGTTTGCAGCTAATTTCTTACTAAACAATTTAGTTTAAAATTTCTAATTTTCCCTTTCTTCAGATTGTATCACAAAGTAATTTTTTATTTGATAGAGTTTAGATGTGTGAACTATTGGGTGTAAACATTAATTATTCATTCATCCTATTCATACATTTCTGAAAATAGAGCTTTTTAATGAAAGAACGATGGAAGAGTATAAATACAATCAGAATAGAGTTTACTGATCATAGGGATTTAACCTTTGCTTTATGGTTATTTTCAACTTCCAATTAAAATAAACTGGAACTGCTGCTTATGGGATGAACAACTATCCAACATCACTATTCAAAGCACATTTGAATCCAAAGCTTATTTGGTGTGGGGAAGACTCAAGAACTACACACATTGTGTTGCATGAGGAAGGTCAACTTGGCAGGCAGTACCCTTGATAGAGGGAAAGTGACATCCTTTCTTTGAGTTTCATCATGATCTATATCTGTGTGAATAAACAGTCATGTGGGGATGGCATGCCTTGGTCACATGCATGCTAGTTCAATTACTTATGAAATTATAAGCATCTACTCTTGAGAATTTTCACCAGAGGGAGAAGGTACCAGGGAAGTTTTGGGCCTTTGATTATTTGAAAATGCCAAACTCTATAAAAGCAAGAAGTTAAAGAGTGAAATTTAGAAAATTTAGCAAATAAAGACAGGTTTTACATACACCTATCTAATTTTAATATAGAAAATAAAGATAAGCATATATATATACATACATATATACATATATGAATATATATAATTGGAAACACAATCTCTTAATAATCTATGGACCTAAAAAACTTACTATATAAGAATCCATTGTGTGGAACTCTGCAGCCTTTTCAAAGCAGTTGTGGATTAATTTGGTATCGAGTCTAGGCTGCAATTTTAAATATTTACTGTACTTGATACTCATGAGTATGTAGAAGGATGTGATAAAGGCTAACTTCCATCACAATTCTCTTTGCAGTATAACTGAATGCTAAGTTTGAATTAATTTAAATCTTATGTGGAGGGTCTCTCTCAAGCCTCATCCTACCTATAGGCAGTGTGGGGTAAAACCCTCCCTCCTTTTTGGGACCTGTTCTGGGAGAAGAAGCTGTTTCAGCCAGGGTCATAAGAAGGTGAGAGCAGAAATTGAAGAGGGAACCTATATCCTTTGACGTGGCAATGTGAAGTAACAGACGCCCCTTGTTTCCTTTATCCCAAGGGCCATCACAGCTCCAAGCTTTCTAGTGGTATTGCCAACAGTGCAATTTCTCCCTGTGACCAATTCAAAAGATGTAATCCTCCACATAACATCTGTAATAACCTTTGTATGTTGTTCCTAAGAGCAGTTGTTAATAGTTATCCTTCAAGGCTCTCATATCATAGCTACTCAATGGGGAATTCATTTAGGACATGAAACAAATCCCTACATAGATTTAGAGAGGGACATGTATCTTCAGTGTTTCCATAAGCTTCACAAGGAATTATTCATCAGGAATTTCATTCAGAGTCATCTACTAAACAGAAAGTATATCCTAGGCATTGTTTTAAGCCCTGAAGATACAAGGATATGTAAAAAAGAATTCTTCACTGCAAGGATCACACTGTTGTGAAATACCAATACTACAGCAAGTGAAAACAAGCAAACAAAAACAGACAACTGAGCTGGAAAAGAAGGGAGGGAAAGGATAAAAACCTGTCAAAAGTTTTAGGTTTCGTAAATAAAAATTTTCACCCATCTTCTCACACCCACATCCCAACACTCAATAGAAGCCTTTAAGTCTATGTTTAAATTTGTGTAGAATCCTAGTCTCTACTCCTTTACTGCTCCCTTCTGTGTCAGCCCCACACAGGCCCCAAGTAGAAGCCTCCTAACTTTTTACCTTTCTCTTGAGTATTGCTTCTCATTGCTGTGCAGTCAGGGATTCTGTGAATGGAGGTGAGATGGGCTTCTCACTAGTGAGAGATTCCAAACCATACTAAACCTCCAATGTCCGACACCTGCCAAGCCCTACCTTTTCACCTCCCATTTTCTCCCGACTCCCAGGCCTTCAATCGGTTCTCTTGTTGTCTAGGATTCTCGAGTGTCCTACTTGTCTGCTTCAGTTCTCTCTACATAACTCCTTCTCTCCTGCTTCCAGGGTTGGCAGGGAGTCAGAGCTCAGCTCCAGAGCAGACACGCCCCTTTCTCCAAAGCACAGCATCTGCCCTGGTCCTGCTTGGTTTCTTTCACAGCACACCTCATCTGTCCCCACCTGCTCATTATTTACTTTATCTAGAGTTTACCTTGTCTCACTAGCTCACTCCCAAAGTGTAAAACTGTCCAAGGACAGAAAACAAATAATCTTGATTAGATGTTTGCTGAAGAAATTGGCCTTTAAAAATCACGGAGGTAAATACAGGCTGAAACAAGTAGGCATGAAGGGCACGGAAACCTGAATAGTTCAAATCCAAATACCATTTAGAGATCCTTAGTGATCCAGGAGGGAGGTGTTGGTAACGGAGATAGGTCACAGGCTTGTAGTTGTTATACACTAAGCTGTCTGTCCCTCCCCAGTTCATATTCTTAAGCACACCTTTCAGTTGCTTAGAATGTGATGGCCTTTGGAAAATGGAGCCTCTAAAGAGGTGGTTAATTGAAAATAAGGCTGTCTGGATGGGTCATAATCCAACCCAATTTATGTCTTATAAGAAAGAGAAATGTAGACATGCAAAGAGACACCTTTGAGGACTCAATAAGAAGGCAGCTGTCCGCTAAGTACAGAGAGGCCTTAGGAGAAACTAGGCCTGCTGACACCTGGATCTTGGACCTCTATCCTTCAAAGCTACAACAAAAGACATTTCTGATTGTTAAGCCACCTAGTCTTTGTTGTTTTGATATGGAATTTTGCATTTATTTGACTATTCTCTGCTATTGTGAAATGGGGTGGAAGTGAGAAGAGGCCTGTGTTTTAGGAAGGCTGTACTGATTAGATAGAGGACTGAAGTGGGGACATGGGGATGCTAGCTCATTGGGAAGCATCACAGATCTAGATCAAGAGGAAGGGAAGGCAGAGATGAGCATGTTGACATCAGTCAGTAGTGTGATACTGACAGCTACCACAAAATATGATTTAGTAAATTTAAGCAAATAAAACATGACTTTCAGTGACCACACCACCCGTTAGAAAGACTGACGATGTGGCATGTAATGTAGGCTCTATGAGCCTTCCCACTGTTCCCACTGTCCCAGTGGGAAGGCTAGGGGTTGAGAAGGGGTTCTGTGGAGGTCAGGGCTCATCCCTCCAGATTAGCATATCATGAAGCACAGAAGCCTTACAAAGAAATCTCTGTAACAGTGTGAAACAAAAATGGTCCTTACATTTCATTGATTGTCCTTGTTTGAGAGGCACCTTTACACAATTCTGAGCTATACTGTTTTAGAAATTAACATTTTGGGGGTGTGTTCCAATGCACTAGCATAACTTCAGCATAACCAGGGAACCTTGGCCTGGGAACTTCTAGTTCCCATAGAAACACTGCTCAACAATGAGAAACAAAACAAAACAAAAAAAACAGAATGAAAGACAACATTGGATTCTATTTTGGTCTGCTGGCCACCATCTCTAAAAACAAGTCTAAAGCTAATGGGAGTTCCTCAGTACTTTCAAAGAAAAAAATTAAGGTGATTTCAGAGGAACTATGCTTCAAAAGCAAGAACTCTGGGGGCAGTTTTTGAATGGGAACTCTGACTAGAGTTCTTTTATATCTGATCAACCACTGTCTAAGCTTTGAAACATTCCCTTCAGTTTGGACCCAAGAATGGCCACATGCAATAACTCACAGGCAATTCGCACATATGCCTTCCGACTCTTTGTAGTGCCTGCTGAACTCCAGGCCACACACTGGCACCAGTAATCTTCAGGCCCAAAAAGTTCCTCCACTTGCTGTCGTGAAATCTCAATGCTCACTTCCCTCACAATGAGACCTGACAAGAAAAACAAAGGTTCAAGTCAAGAGAAGACCTGCACATAAAACATAAATGGAGCACTTTTGCCCTTCCCCACCCTGCCCCAGGTAACCCACTTGAAGTCATTGATCACCATCTACCTATTACCTCCCACCTGTCATTTCATGAAGACTCCAGTTACTGTTCTCCACGTATTTACTCTTTTTTGTTTGCTACTTCAAGTCTTCAATATTCATCTGAAGATGAAAGTGGAGCCAATCTATAATTCCACATAATAGCATTTCCTCCTATCTAATTTGATAACATTCATCTCCAACCATGCTATATCTCTCGGTTACTAAAATGGTATAATCTTGGCTGTCATGTTTCCTCAAGATGCTGCTTTATTTATATAGGTTATGGCTAAGATGCCAAGATACTGTAAAGCTTTTCATAAGGGAATCTTCCTAGTACTTCAAGAAAAGAAAGAAAATAATCTAAATCTATAACATCAGCGGCAATCATTATAAACCACTTTAACAGATCTGTTTAAAATATAATAGCACATCATTTTTTACTGAAATACATTATACTTTCAGTTAACTAAAGAATAGATGACTTTTAAAAGGTTTCCCTGAACAATTGTTTGGAAGCTCACATGTTTATCAGCTATTATAATATAATTGAAATCCCAAAGAAGTATCTTCAGCTGAGTGTTGAAATAATCCCAAATTTTGTATCTTGAGTAACAAAAATTGAACCAAGGATTACCATTTCATTGGTATTTATTTGAGGTATTGAAGTGATTGCAGATGGTTACGCTGCAGTTTGTCTCTTTGCACTGACCAGGAAAGATTAAGTGAGTGATATAAGTGGGCAACTGCCAGCTCACCTGGAGATTGAATGTACACATTTCCAGAATGAAGTGTTCATTGAAAGCAATAGCACAACATCCAAAGGGAGCAAGGGAATTTGCTCTGAGCCAAGTATGGACATAGTAAGAATGATAGAATGAATCGCCTTTGTCTATTAACTTCATATTCATCAATCTATTCATTGTCCATTGATACTTTATCAAGTATAGGTTATATTAAAAGTGCTATATTAGGCACTTGTGGAATTTTAATGAATAAGTTATTTATCAACCTTAATAAACTATAGTCATTCATATACACATATATATGTATATACATATGTATATATATATATATATATAGTGAAACAGGCTCATATTAACAATGGGATAATACCATTTATTAATGGATTTACTTATTATTCATTTAATAATATATTTATTAGTGATGTTGAATTCTGTAATGAAGCTGTATAGAGAAGAAAGTAAATCACAAAGGAACTCAGTATAGTTAGATAGATCACATAGGAGTTACTTTGTTTATGTGCTAAGAGGTGTTCAACATATGGGAAGAAGCAATAAAGAGAATTATGAGACTGGGAATCAAAAAGACCACCAAACACTGGCCAGAGAGAGCAGAGGTATGAAATGGAAGTAGAGACAAGAAAAGGTCCAGTTTGGACATTTGTATTTGAATGTTTCTTAAAGTGGGACTCCCACAATGGCATTCTCAGCATCACTTGAGAATCTGTGGGAAATGCAAATGCTCAGACCTAATTCCAGATTCATTCTTTAGGAATCATTGGGGAAAGGACCAGTCAGTCTATGGGCTTTTAGCAAGGTACATGCTAAATTGGAGAATCCTTGTACACAGTGCTTAAGACTTTGGATTTCTTTATGAAAGTCATGTATAACATTGGGGTGTTTTAAAGTAGATGACTGCGGCAGAGGACTATTGAATACATGTGAGATAGGCAATATATGTATATTTGTATATGTATGTTCAGAGTTTCATAAGCTACAAGGTATTCATATGCTTAAAATATTTTTTGTCATAGATGACAGGAAATGGGATCCCAAATAATACCTAAGATGTATTCAGATAATTTCATAAAAATCAGTAATTCATAGACACCCAACAGGGACAGGGACCACCCTATGGAAGAATGAAAAGTGTTTTCTATCAAGAACTAATGGGGTTTGAGTCATAGGACCTTAGAAATCATGAAAAAAATTATACTGAAGCCTAGGAAAGTGTGTATTAAATATCCAGAGTAGGACAAGATCCTGAAGGGCCAACTCTATTGCCAAACATTTATAATTTAAAAATTATTTTAAAGTTTGAAGATGATTAGTCCTTTTATATTTATTTAATAGCCAGTTTAAAAGGTACTTTCTGGTAAATGGCATAGTCCAATGCTTTGTCCAACCGTGAAAAGGACAGAAAGAATTATACTCATCAACATTTAACTAACACAACAATCTTCCCAGCAAGAATCCTAAGCAAAACATTCCTTCTATTTCCTGGGTCTTTCTCAGGTCCCAGTTTTCCAATTTTGTTGTAATTTTTTCATTAAAACTAGAAATCTTTTCTGTCAAATAAAGAAAGGCAGCCTCCATTCTCAACCCCTGCCTCCTTTTATTCCTTCCTCTCTAATGTTTAGTGCTTTAGCCTGCCTTTCTTGCTAAAACATGCCCTCTTTATGTGGAACTCCAGTTACTGGAAACAAAACTCTTCCTTTAAAGTTGTTGCAGGAAATTTACAGTCGCCAAAAGGCTGATAAACCTGCAGCCTGTATTTACTTCTAACTATAATGGATCTTTCTAAAATGCAGAACAGCAACCAATGGGCAACGGATATTAAAACCACATACAAATATTTTTTTGTTCTGAGATGATAACCTGAGGTTTCATTCCTCTCCCATTTACTTGAAGTAATTACTGGCAACCTAATTAAATGATGGTGGAACTTCACTGGGTCCACTATATCCTTGAGACTGAATAGGTTTGTGAATGTTTCTACTAACCACAAATCCAAAGCCTTTTAAGAAGCCACAGACCAACTCCCCTGCTCCTGGAGCTATTCATGCTATGAATGCTCTGAATTATGTGGCCCAGGCTCCCTGTGGGCACTGGAGTCCAGCACACTTGGAGGGCTGTCTTCAGCTTTACAGACACTCCATTCAGAAGCACATGAACTAATTACAGTGTGTACAGTTGCTTGGCCACATGGCTCACAATGTTTACATTCCACTATTTGGACAATGGCAGAATAGGAAAGGACTTCAGCATGAAGTATCTAAATATTTAGACCCCAGGATTCCCTGGAATCTCCTGCATTTTTAAGGCTCTCAGCTACACAGTTGTGGACAGTTTTTCCATTGATTTAGGTAATTTCATTACCTGTGACATTTTGCTCGGATTTCAGCAAAAAGTAAGTAATATCTTTTCTCTTTGAAAGGAAAATTTCAGATCTTGAAGTCTTGAGATGCAAGAAACAAGCATTCTTAAAATCTGAAATACCATCAGCATTATTACCAAGGAAGACTGCTTTGAAGAGCCTTGGGAACTTGAAATTGGTTTCAGGTTATTTAGGGGTCAGGAGAGTGCTACAGGATTTACACAAATACAAATGAGTGGTTTCCATCACATCTGATAACATCAAAGATTTCCCACCACGATTTTAATAGTAGCATCTCAAAGATGCAGGCTGTTTGTAGTTTTCAGTCATTTGTGTCTATAATAGGTTTCATCATTGTTTGGGAACCAGAGTGCAAGGAATTTATTAGCTTGTTATACCAAGAACTCTTACAATGAGTATGAATGTGCACTTGGTAACAGGGAAGTTCAAATGGATATGAAAATCCAGATAGAAGTTCAACTCTCTGATTGCAACCTTGAGAGACTCTACATAAAAAAATGAAACTTGTATGTTACTATAATTTGTTCACAAATATATGTATAATTGATTTTAAATACCCATATTCCCATGGAAATCTGATATTTGGTCCAGTCAAATGACTATATCTTAAATGTTCAGTAATGTTAGATACTGTCTTATGTTGTATAATTGAAAAGACAGGCCAATTGTCACCCAGCCTGAGGCTGTTAATTTATTGTATGAAAGGGTCTTCTTTATAAATCAATTCTTAAAAGCTATATACCTACCCACTACAGTCATCCCAGAGAGCTATGGATGGATCAATATAAAACATAAATTAATAAATGTAACCCAACACATAAATAGACTTAAGGGCAGAAACAATATGATCTCATAAATACAGAAAAGGTCATTGGTAAAATCCAACATCCTTTGATGATAAAATTCATGGCAGTTTAATGATACATGGGACATATCAACATAATAAAGGCAATATATGAAAAGTCAATAGCCAGCATTACAATAAATGGAGAAACATTCAAAGCGTTTCCACTAAAATCAGGAAGAATACAAGGGTGTTCACTTGTTCCATGACTGTTCAATATAATCACCTGAGATCATGACTACAATAAGTCAAGAGAAGTAGATAAAGGGAATGTAAAATAGAAAGGGAAGAAGTCAAAGTGAACTTATTTGCAGATGATATATCTCTATACATAAAATAACCTAAAGACTATCAGAAAACTCCTACCACTGGCAAATTCATTCAGCAAAGTAGTAGGATACAAAATTAACACACAAAAATCAGTATCCTTCCTATGTAGCAACAGTAAACATGAAATGATAGTCCCCACAAGTTAAAATTTCTTGAAATATTTCTATTCAAGGAAATATAATACTTGTATAGTGAAAACTTGAAGACTCTTAAGAAAGAAACTTGTGTGATTGGTTTTAAGGTCCACTTCATGAGATGGAACCCATCCCTGACACTGCTTCTGTGGCCAAGAACCCAAGACAACATAGGCCAGGGACCTATGAGACTGTTGCTGTGCTAAAGGAACATAGTAACAAAATGACTTTTGAGGACATTCTGCTATAATCATGGATCAGTGTCATGTGCAGCCATCATCAAAGAAGCTGTTCCCTGCGTAGATGGAAACAAATATAAACATGCATATCTAGACAATGTGCAGAGCCAGATGTGGGAGTGCTAGACCTAAATGGGGTGTCCATCCCAGTGCAGAGAGGGGAAGCAGACATAAGCCCATACCCTCAACCCAGAAGCTATCTTCAACTGATAAAACT